AAACATTACATACTGAATTTATTCAATTTAACCAAAACCAGATTCTTTTAACCAAAGTGCTCTTGCTTTAAGACTCAGGATGCAAACCTCAGGCTCTGGTGTCTAAGTGGTGGTACATAAATGAAGTGCTTCCTACACAAAAAAAATGTGTGATTGTGTTAAAACTAATTACTAGTATATGAATGTATATATATAGACAGAGTTGGTACCATGCAGTACATACTATAGGAACATTTTGGAAAATAATCTATTTTTATGTGACAAATACCTTGGTACAATATAAATCATGTGTGAAATATCTTGTGGGTAAGATGCCTCACAGCTTTTTTTCTCTCCACATGGGCTGCAGAAGTCTGCCAAGTGGAAACAGACATAGAGGTTAATTAGGCGGAGTAGATTCTGATGTTCCGGTTCAAATGAAAATCAAATGACATCCACCATCATCCATCACCGTCGAGCCACTCTCCATGCACCTATCAGGCAATCATGGTATATTGAAATGGCAGTCAAAAGGTTAGGGATACAGTCATCTGCAGGGGCTCATCCCTCTGTGATAAATACGGAGAACAACCCATAGCCTTGTGTCATTGCTTTTGGACCACAGTCGTATAGGCACTGATAAAAACTGACCTGCTGCCTATTGATTTCTCCCTGTTTCTACAGTCCAGTCCCTGTGGAGGCAGAAGGATCTGCTGTGCTGCAGTACTGCTGAGATATCTGTGAAGCTCACTGGAACACAGCACAGAAATATTATCTAATCTTAGCTAAATTAAAAAAAATCAGATCAAGGGTGAAATTGCTTGATATTCATTTTACATTCGTTGCCCCTCTTAAGGTGTTGTGTAAATGTTTACTTTGGTTTTTTACTGATTGATCATTTACTTCCTCTGGTCTTGAGGTATTCCTGTTGTGCTCATATCAATATTTCATTCATTCAGGAGGAGCAGGTAAAAACAGAACAGCAGTTTCTGAAAGTCCGAGAGGGTTTTGAGTTGTGGAGTTTGGGCAGAGTTTGGCTTCCTTTGTTTCTCAGTGTGCATCAATTTGATATTCATACACTGAAACCTACACCAACCTGAATCGTCTGGGAAAAAAACATTCAGAAATGATTCTTATTGTACTGTATGGCCTTTTAATACTTTATGCACTGTAGCTGTTGCCATACATTCCACTGATATTGTGTGGATTGCAGGAAAACATGATTCTAGCGCAGTCACATAGAGTCTGGGAAAAAAAAGATAAAGTCTCAATAAAATTCATGTCTTACATGGTCACTGAAATCATTTAAGAGGCATCCTGCCAGCTGCTGTGATATTGTTTTCCTTTGAATCATCTGTGTCATTGAAAAACCTGAAAAGCATCCAAATATCTCAGAAATGCTTTGCAACCCGACACATTTTTGAAATGCTATTTTCTCCTCTTTCTGAGAACTAGAGTAAATGAATCTGGAGAGTTTTTTTTTTATTGTCACATAACTCTGGAGATGTCTGTGAAGTTTTCTCCTTGGTCAGCAGTGAGGAAAGTTTCACATTGATGGCACGTCACACTGCTTCCCTGCACTGTTGACAACGCTGCAATAGTTGCATCACGAGTGGCGTCGCTGTGAACACGGCGTTGATGACTGCCTTTGACACCTTGTGAATGTATCTGTTCAAAGCTAAATTCACAAATACAGATTCTGTCCCACTGTGCATTCATGGGGATAACATGATGTGTACAGTAGACCTAATAATTATCTGTTCAAGTGTGATATCAATTCTTTAGGTACTCATCTGATCAGCTACATTCATCTGCTTGGCAGGCTTAATAATAGTAATGAGTAATGAGCAGACAGACATGACAAATTATCTACAGAGCACCTATACAATGGGCTCTAAAACATGCAAACAATTAGACTACAAGGAATTGCAATTGATAAAATATCATATGTATATGTACTATCATGAAATAACCTTTCCTGTGTAAAACAAAGTACAAATGGTACAACAACACACCCTTACTCCCTTTTACTAGTTCGACACTTGTCAGTGAATGTGAGCCTGTTTGATAACACAAATGCCCAGACAACATCAACACAGAGCTAAAGTGTTCAACACACATAAAACTGAGATGTGTTATATGACTTTGGTCCAGTGAGTAATTAGAAGCGTTAATTAGAATTATCAGGAAAAAAATGAGTTTCAGTCGTGTTTTTGTTCTACTTCCACTAATCTGGCTCTCAACATCTCTTACAATTTCAAATATGTAAGGTCTAAAGTATGATAGCTCAAACTGTAACCCAACCAACCAGTGAACTCTGGGCGGGTCAGTAGTTTCAGCTAGTGCCCCAAAACAACATACACCGATCAGCCATAACATTATGAGCACTGTTAATGGTCATAATGTTAGTGAATAACACTGATTCTCTGGTTATCATGGCACCTGTCAGTGGGTGGGATATATCAGGCAGTAAGTGAACATTTTGTCCTCAAGTGTTCCCGGTTTGCAGTGGTCAGTACCTATCAGAAGTGGTCCAAAGAACCAGAGACAGGGTTATGGGTGACCAAGGCTCATTGATTAGACCTACACACTGGGCCTTTAATACGATCACTGTTTGTTTCCTGTTTTCTACCAACACTTAACACTGGTTTCTTTTCTTCTGCTTTATTATCACAGTCTCAAACCCTAACCATGTGGTTATTACTTTAACGATGACACTGAAGGTCCCTTAACCATAAGAAAGGAGTAACTTTAACCCAAACTACATTTACCTAACCTTAACTATAAATACACATTTTAACCCCAAAACAAGATCTTTCCCAAAAACTAACAAGTTGTTTTTGTGCCTAAACCTAAGCAAACCTTAACCACAGAGTTGTCACTATAAAACTGATTTATTTTTCAACTGTGACTTCTAAACGCTTTGGAAACCGTGGACCACTGATATCCTCTGAAAGGGTTAAAGCTAAGCTAAGTGTCATGAAAATAAATATTCAGTATGTTGAATATCTTTCTTAATTATTATTACAAAGTGGTTGTGTACTGGTTGGCCTTAATTTGTTCAAGCAGGATCATTAAATTCCCAATGAGCCCTTACAAGTTTGGAGTCTTGGTGCTGTTGTAAATATGCAGTTCTTAAAACAAAATGTAAATGAAAATATTGTCATTTAATACATTTGGCCTATGGTGTCGACCAAGCCAAACAAAAAGAGATACAGAGAGAGAAAGAAGTTAGGAGGTGCTTGGGAGAAATGTATAACTCTTCACAAATTACTACACTAGAAGAGAAAAGGGAATTCATGAAATAGCAAATGGAAAGTAGAATTTGTCAGCCAGTGTAGTGTATGGGTAAGGTGTTCTTACAGTAACGTTTTTCCCCGCTATAAAAAGAGAACTGGGACCCATTTTGTGAGATTTGTTTAATAATTCAGCACAGCCTTAAACCAATTCACTTCAAGTGCCCAGATGGTATTTTTATTAGGCAAATGCTCGATACTTGAGAGGAATAATTTACTTGCGTTCCGAAACTGGCAGGGTACCTTTGAGCCACGCGAAATTTACTGAGCAGAGAATCAGTCGGGCTGTTCTTCAGGGTACTAATTCAGCAAAACAATAATTTCATGAATATCATTGTGTTTGTGCTCCCGTGGGGGGGGGGGATCCAGCCACGGTCACTTTCTGCACTCTGTTGTTAAAGTTAAAACAGCATGTGCAAGGCCTGCTCTAACCTCTGAATGCAGGGAAATATGGTAGCACAGCCGGTAACTTGAGGACATGCCATATTCAGCACACTCAGACGTTTTCTTTACTCTGACCTCTTTCACAATCTTAATCCTCCTTCCTGTCAACAGCTGGTCCCATATGAGGAAATGACAGAGATGTGACATTATTTATAAGATCCATTGTTTATTGTGCGAGGCGTGAGTTTTAAATCCTTGTCATACAGTTCCTCTGTCAAGTTTTCCAGGGTGTAATAAAAGCAGAAGCACGATGCCCTGAAGAGAGATGAGTGGAGTGAATTTCTGATATCTCTGACCTTACAAAATCCTGCCCTCTGGACAGAAACACCCACTGAGCTGTAGTCAACGAGACTAGGAGTACTTCTTAATTATCAGCCTCAAGCAGTTTATTTTGAAGACACAGTTTAAAGAAAAGAAACTGTGAAAAAAATAGACTATTTTTTCAATACTGAAGGAGTTAGTGGTGAAAATAAGGCAGCAAAGTGAATGGCAGTGATGGGGGCAGACACTGTGTTGATTGACACTGCAATACTGTTCTATTCCTTTTGATGGGATTAAATTGTCATGACCTCTCAGATATGGAAATTGAGGCACTGATCAGAGGCTGTGGAAATGTCAACATTATTAAATTGTGAGACCAGTTAAAGGCACAGTTCACACTTTTCCCAGGTTAGTGTACAGAAACTGTACATTTAGGAACCTGCTATATTTTTTATTTGAGTTTTAATACCGAGTCTCAAATTGTATTTTCCAAAACCTTTTCCAAGACCTTTAGTCATGGTTATACGTGCTTTTCTTACAGCTCAGTGATAGGCAGCTCAGATAGTGGCAGAAAATTCCTCACATAACAATCAATAGAATAATCTCACATCGGCTGAATATTAGACCAAATGATCTGGAAAAAAATGACATATTTCCTGTGGATCATCACACAGGCTGCTGATTCTCTGGACTTTATTCCAACTGATCGTTACATTCACCATCACAGTCTGATCCCGCAGTAGTCTATCATAGCAGCTTTAATAAAAAGCTAATAACTCGGCAGCTCTTGCCGTATACTTATACCGTGGATCAGGGGCAGAGGGGGTAACTGGGGTGTGAAATAGACTCCAGTTAGCTGATGGACACATGAAAAGCCTCGGATGGTTGGTCGTCACTCACACCGCCAGACCCGCCTTTGCTCCATCAGAAGTTAAAATATGAATCTAAATAGACTGGAAAATGCATTTTTCTCCCAATAGCTCCCAGAAGTGAACGGGGCACCAGCACAGGGAGTCATTTGAAGCGCAGATGCACTCTGCTATGCCTGCTCCGCCGTGGCAGTAGGAGGGGTCGTAGTGACGCTGTTATCCAATGGGCACAGGCTTCCTCTGGACTGAGCGCAGCATCTTTCTCAGCGGCACTTTTGCGCCAGACAAGTAGGGACGGTCTCTCACTCAGCACCCGAGAAGAACACACAGGGCTCCGGGAATTACTGAGGTGTATTTGGCGAAGAAGACTCATCTCTTCTCCCTTTTTTTTCTAACGCGGTTTTGCAAAGATGAACGTTGGCTGCGTCATCCTGGCGTGCACCTTACTTGTGGGCGCATCCTCGGTAAGATGAGTTAATTTCTACACGTCTTTTCGGCTAATTGTGCTGTGGAAGTGCTGCACTGCTGTAGTGCTCATACTTGGGCTTTGCAGCGCGCTGCAGGAGCCCTCGAAAGTGACTGTGAGAGGCTCACTTTCCCCCCTGCAGCGTTGCGTTAAAGGCAACATGATGCGTGTAATCGAGCTTAATACGGCGACGTTTAAGGTCAAGAATATTTTTGTCTTTAGTGTGGTGTAAAAAGTCACCGGCAACTCTCTTCGTTTGTGTCTCTCCACCCTCTCCGCTAAAGAAACTGCAGTGCATTATTGCAGAGGACAGTGGTTTCTGGAGGGGCTTCTCGTTCTGTTAGCTGCGATCAACTTCGTTTACGCACGTTTACGCACTATCATTTCTCCTTTTTTACATTTATTATTATATATATATTATTAATAGCTCAGTTGACTACTTGGTTATTTGGTTTGGTGCTTGTTTAATGAGAATGATTTAAAGAGCAAATATGCAATTAGGAATAGCTTTCCTTACTTTATTTCCAAACTTGCAATGCTCTTTAAATCAGACTTATTTCCCCAACAAATAATAAATGCAGTGGTTGTTGAGCTTCCTTGATGTGCAGTCAGTGAAATGTTGAGTTGCCTATATTATGCAACAAAGTGCAATATGTTTTCTTTATAAAACCACAATTCATGTGATGAAAGAGGTGTATTGCTGTAAGTGCACTCTGTGAAGAAGGAAATGCCTGCTGGAAGCACTGTGTGCCTGCAACTGCTTATACATCAACAGTATGATTTAACGCATTTTGCCTCTCTCTTTGGTCTCTTTCACACATGCACACACTCTGTGCTCCCCTGCTCTCATGCTCAAGTCAGCATGCAGTATATATGTTTAGGTTGCACATTTACTGTCCACAGTCATCATCTTTATAATGGTCATTCCATTATCATAGCTTTCATCATTTTTATGTCATTCAGCACATAATTATTTTGATGATGACATCTGTAATGGTAATGGTAATGATGATTGTCATCATTAAGATCATTTATTCACTCTTTTTTCAGTATTTCTGTGTCTTAAGCCCCAGATGTAGATTTCCACATTGTAATGGCTCCAAGTGCAGCCTGCTGTAGTCTGAAGCAAACCACTCACTGTAGCCAGAGAGGCTGTGAGGTTGAATATCAGTGTGAAAAGGCTGTGAAATCAGCTTGTAACCCTGTGGCCGCAAGTCAATTTGCCATGCTTAACAGGCCGTCTTGTTTTATTCCTCAGGGGAGTAAGGCAAGCCAGCCCCTCAAACCCCCATGCAGACCAGGCTTCTCCCAGAACTTCTACACAGTGATTGTCTCGAGAGATGTGCTGCACGGCCAGAGCATTCTCAAAGGTAAGTCTGCGCTGCTGGATTTCAGTTAGCGACTGATGGTATTTTTCTCTCCTCTGCCCAGATGTGTCCTGAACCTCATAGTGTGATTGAGTGAGTAAGTGTATGTGTGTGCAGGGTGGGTGGGTGGTGCATATATATTATTGTACGTGGCTCTCCATCACTCCTCAAGAAGGTCAGAACACTCTCTGGTTGTGGCTGTGCAACATAAGCACGCACATGTATATATCCAAGCAGAAAGATCCAGTTGTGATTCAGCTTGGGTTGAAAAAAATCTTGCAATGTGATTAAACAATGTGTGACAGCAATTAATGTGACAGCAGGTGTGTAAGGCACTCTGTTCAGGAGTTGTCATTTGATATGGAGTTTCATTGATGAATGAACACCTAAATTACACTGACTGCAAAAAAACAACAACAATGCATTTCTTATTTTTTGATTGACTAAGCAGCAGGCAGACTCATTTAAATGGCCTGCTGCCTACTCTGCATGTTTGCAGCTGGAAGCCCAAAACTTTTATTTTATTCCCAGTTGTTCCTTGTAATACATTTTCCAGCCCTTTTATTCTTTCTGTTTTTCAGAGGAATTCAATTCTGTTTTCATTCGCTCCATTTCTTTTCAGAGCAGGCAGTGTACTGAATCTACTGTGAGGTTCATCTCCTGCCATCTGAAATTATGCTGTAGTTTCTTCAGCGTGTCTCTTCTATTTGCGGGTGGATCTTTGTCATAATGGGAAAAAAATCTCACCTCACTCACATCCCAGGAACCCAAATAGGGACCCTAATTGCTTCTATAACATAGACCATGTTATATCTAAACCTCTAAACTACAACTGCAGCATGAAGAAATTACTGCCAGGATGAGGAGTGCTTCAGTATTTTGCAGATTTTCATATCTAGCTGATTCGGTGCTATAAAAGTAGAGGGGCTTGGGCCCAATATCCAGCATCCTCCTAATATTTCTTTCTCTTTTCTTTCTTTCCTCTAACCCACTCTACTATGTTACTCACACTTGGGGGAAACGTCTCAACAGCAGTGTACAATGAGCTTAGCTCTCCCCTGACACTTTTATATTATTGCTTTTATAGCCAAATATTTGTCTATTGTAACGTGAAATGCTATTTGCCAGGAGGAAATGGCATTCTCATTCTAACAGCTGTTTGAGCATTTTACGCCTGTGAGCAAAACAATTGAATTATTCTGGAGGTTATTTTGTTATTTAGCAGGCTGACAAGGACAGTGCAGCCGGTCAGTGGGGAGCGAGTTTGCCTGAAGGGGCTTGGGGCTCAAGGTTTCTGCCTGTTTGGAAATGGGCTGTGGTGTCCTCACTGACCCAAGCAGTGTTACCAGAGGGTGATGTGATGTGTGACAGATAATGTATGTTGGTTCCTCGTCTGTTATGTGCCGTGTTATATGCACATGTTTCTCGGGCGGGGACATGTCCTGGTGTACATATTAGATGCCAATGCTTCAGTTAAAAAAATGTTACGTTTAAGCTCAAGCTCAACTGTATCAATTTGATATATCGGTAGCTTAAGTGCTACATCACCTCCAGCTTTGATCCCATATTACCTTTGCTTCCAGTCTCTTGCTTTCATTTGGTCTGTCTATGTGTTTGTTCTTTGTGAAAATCAATCTGGGAGCCGTGCTGTCCTCCCAACTGGCCACTCAAAGGGATACACTGGGCTGCAACAGCTTACGTCCTCATGCGATGATGAATGTGCAGTGGCTAGCCTCACTGAAGGTCTGTTTTCTATACAGTGGGACACAAAGTGGGAGGAAGCCTTTAATACTAACGCCACAATATGTATAACCTGAAACTGTCACTTTCCAAGAAAATGAATGTGCCTGGGATGAGATGAGGGAGGGTCTGGGATGCTCCAGAGCTGGCTAGGGGGTTGCTGGACCGCTGTGGGCCTTGGCTGTTGTCTCCCCCGAGAGATGGACAGTGAGCGATGGGGGGAGGACTAAAAAGCTGTGGCCCAGCAGGTGCAGTATGATCCAGGCCTCTGTTTCCAGTCGCTGAACAATGTGTGGACTGCAGCTCTTTTCATGCTGAGGTAGAAGGGGGAGTTGTTTTTCTGATATTTTATTGTTTTGATGGTGTGTGGGTAGTTTAGGAGTGACTAATCTGACAATCTGAGTTAATTGGATGTGTTAGAAATCTTTTGCCTGTTGCTATAGCTGTAAATGCCTGGTTGTCACTGTCATTTTCCAAGGCACCGAAGTGTAGTATTGTAAATGTTTGAATGCGTTACCTTTATGGAGACTTTACACTTTGCATTTTTTATTGTCTGGCTTCATCGTTATCTGGAAAGATAAGATAAGATATATGGGGGGATCTTTAAGCCTGTTAACATTTAACAGTGAACGCGAAGCAGGGATGTTGCATAGTTGAATCCATTAAATCCCTGGGCTATTAGAGTACTGCAACCTGCATTTTTTCCTGCATTACTTCACAAAAACGCAGATAACAAAAATAAAAAAAAGCATTTCACATATGGCAGTAATGTTTTTTTCTTTTTAACAATTTCATAACCCTGCAGATCAACTCATAACGGGTCCCAACGACCATGTTGGTAACAACCTGGAACATAAACTTGGAGATATATGTTTTTCACTGGACAGAGGGAAAAATGATATAAATGGAAACTGATGCCATGGCATGACTTTGAAAATGGTTAGTAGTGATTTGAATGACAGTAAATAGGTAGTAAATACACAACATTTTGATTAAACACTGGTATGGTCCTTTAACTGTACTTCGTTTCTATAGTGGCCCCTGTAGGTAAAGTGAAGTGTCTGATCGAGACTTGAAAGGTCATTTTTGAATTGTAAAGCATCATTCAGTGCCCCCTTTGGTCATTCATCGCTGGCTTTATAGGTTAAAAAGGCTGTTATGGCTTTGTGGTTGACCGTTAAAGACCTTTGTTTAACTAACTCACGAATCTCTGTGCTGTCGCTAAGTTGTGCTGAATAAATCATCCCATGCTCCCATGGAGATGTTTGTCTGAGAGCTGGGTCAGGATTGGAGGAAAGAGGCTGTGGCACACAGGCAGGCAGACAGCCTGGCCTTGAGTCGCGGTCCGTGCAGATTCCCGCTGTGGGCAGATAAGCCATGAAAAGAAATATTCCAGTGATTGCACATCGCTGTGTAAACCATCACCTCGCTCCAAGAGCCGGAACAGACACCTAGGAACACGGACAAGGGGATGTGGCCTCAGCACAAAAGAAATTGATTTGAAATACAGTTCAGTCAGGATAGTGTCTCTTTAAGTCACTGTCAATGCATATTTGAAATTGCAGCAGTGATGAGTTTCACCTTTTGCCCCTCGCTGGTCCTGAGAGACAGTGAACAACTGCTCTGTGTGATTTAGATGCCTTTATGTTGCCAATATTTTGTGACAAAGAAAAGGACTTTGATGGATTTATTGGAATGCAGAAACCTTGTTTTTGGAGAAAAAAATGATTTCAGCTTTTCAATAGCAGGTTTTAGAAATGCAGCAGAGGGTGATTTTGTTGTGGGCAAATGAGAAAAAAAATAATGATGATAACTTAATGTTTTCTGGCAGAGAGCATCACAAGAGATGTGTGTAGTCCTTAACCAATATCTTTTCTTAAAGCCTGTGCTTTGCCACTTAGACTCCACGCTGCCATCTCAAAGAGAATTGACTTGTTTTTCTTTTCAGTCCCTTGTTGTCTCTTGAATCACAGGAGATGAACTTGCTCTATGAAAAAATAATCTACAATTGGGTGTTTTTCCCTTGCTTCTTCTTTAATTCCAGGGCTTTTAATTTAAAATGGGGTCTTTCTGTTGCAGTTATTTTATAACTACTGCGGTCCACACAGGGAAAAAAAATGTACACTCTGTACTTTAATCTAAAAGATTAATTTAAGGAAGATCGTGCCTCCATCAGCTATGCGCTTTCGGCATGGATTTCCTATTGTTTAATTCCATCTCTAAAAGTTACACATCCAAAGTGACTTGTAACATGACCCCAATTAGACTACAGCAGGGAGAATCTGGCAAGGAGCCATATCTGCTTTGAAACAGTCGGCTCGGTGTTCGCTCTGCTGTGGAGAACGTCTGACTCCTAACCTACTATCGAAAGTGACAGGGCTTTCATAAGTACGTCCAGACCCAAGAACTGGGGGGTGGGTGGGGTGGGGTGGGATTATGTTTCCAGGCATTTGATAAGCGGGATGCCATTTTCCTACTGACTCACCAACGTCTCTCTTGTCCTCCAGAGAGTCTTTCATCTCTGCAGCCAGGACCTGCAGTCTGTGGCGAGCTGATAGAATACAGGTGTAGAAGATGAGCCACATCATTTCTCTTTATCTCGCCCGCCTTCTTACCAAACCAAGCTACGCTCCTATATCCCTCAAACTCCCTACAACATGACATACATGCTGAGCCAATTCCATCAAGCAAACCACCCAAGATATAGTACATGCCACGGCACAATGCTTTTCATCCTGTTTTGTAGTCATTTCCTCAGTGGGGGTAGTAAGTAAAAAAGGGGGTTTGATAGATGGGAAACCGGCTGTCAGCAAAAATATTATTGCCTCTTGTCAGGGCTTCCATGTGAATTTTATTAGTTCTAGTGCACTGATCTTGGCTGAGCTCCTCTCACTGTGTACTGGTATTAGCTATAGTCTGATGCTTGGTCTGTGGGTCATGGCATGTGCTCTCATGGAGTTTCATTACAACACAGATAGTTTCATTGCTTTCCCATCTGGTGCCCACTGAGAGACAGACATGATTCATCTCGACCTCCTTGCATTTTAGGCGGTGAGAAGCTGTAAGAAATGAACGCAGCGCTCCTAGACTCTCTGCTGCATTTTTAAAAGCACCATGCACGGTGTCTGTTTGCACTCTACAGGGTGAGATTATGCAGTAGATCTACATTTCCTGACAAAATAGAGGTGAGCTAATTGTGCCCTGAATTCTGACCTTCAAACGGAGCTAGCCGTGATATTATCAGACCCTTAGATTGCATCTGC